GAACAAATTACGAATGTAGCCATGATCTGAAAAGAATAAAATACAATTATTGGCAATTAAAAAACTGATACACACAGTTTTGGATAAAGCCGAGCTTCTGAGAAAATCTCACTACTTGGTCTCTATCCCAAAAAGGCAAAAACAACAAATCTTTTTCTCAAAGAAGCCCCCACGTGGCTGGCTGACTTTGAAAAGTCAAAATTTTCAATTACCACGGAGGAGTTGATAGAGAGTTAATGAAGGCAGGTTTTACAGGAGGACTTTTCCATTTTTGCAGCAAAAGGAAGAAGATCAAAATCCCTTTATATATATATATATAAGTGAGAGAGAGAGAGAGAGAGAGAGAGAGAGAGAGAGAGTCTGCACCAAAGCAGGTAGCCCTTCCAAGAGATAAGCAGACAACGATTTCAAAAGATAAGTAAGGAGCAAGGGAGTTGTTCAAACAAGAAAAGAAAACTGACCATCATGGCAGATTGAGTTTTTTTCTTTACAAGGAACAAACAGAGAACAAAGAGAGTTGGTTTTCTTTTAGGAAAAAGCAAGGAAAATACCTTCATGAAAGCTGATTGTTTGACAGGACCCGTCCCGAATTTTCCGGAACCCGAGACGAACCCTGCGGAGACCCCGGCATCACACCCACGCTGGGTTCACTCCTTAAATCTATGTCCTCGTTTACCAGAAAGGATTAAGGGCACGAGACTTTCTGCTGAAATTTCGGCAGTCTCCCCTGTAAATTGAACATTTCCCCAAAATTTCCACCTGCATAAAACACATTTTATAACCCAACCGGCAGCACGCACAATATAATCTCATGCAATTTACATAAATGGCCTCCAGCCTTCAAATGATTCTAGCAGAACTGCTCACAATGTTTTTAAAATAACTTAATGCATCAAACATGCATATAATAAATTCAAAATCTATTTATGCATACCTTCACTCACTTAGTCCCCAGGACAAGCCTCAATTCAACCAAGTTTCGGAACCGACAACGAGGTTCGAACCAATCTCAATGAGACCACCTAAGTGGGGTCTAATCTGTGGCTGCACCTAGTAACTTCAGGTTGCCTACGTACCCTACTAAGGGATCAAGCCACACGTAGCTCTTTCGTGTCTATCCTGGCTCCTAATATCAAATAAACCATTACAGCCATACAAATTCATATATTCTAGGATTTATTCATCACAACTCACCAAATACAATCACAATATCTCCCCATACGCCGGAACATCCAAAGTTACGTATGGGATCTATCCGCACGCCGGATAAACCTACGACACGTGAGAACTCATCAACATATCACATAATCCCCTCATACGACGGGACGCACCCGGCCTCGTATGGGGTCTGTCAACACACCAGCTAATCCAAAGACGCGTGTGACCTCAACACTGGGCCTGGCTACATTCTCACCAGCCGTCACACAATCATCTCCCCTCATACGTCGAGACGCACCCGGCCACGTATGGGGTCTGTCAACACGCCGGCTAATCCAAAGACGCGTGCGACCTCACACTGGGCCTGGCTACATTCTCACTAGCCCTCATACTGTTCACTTTGGCCTGGCTACATTCTCACCAGACATCATACTGTTCACTTAGGCCTGGCTACATTCTCACTAGCCATCATACTGTTCACTTGGGCCTGGCTACATTCTCACCAGCCATCATACTGTTCACTTGGGTCTGGCTACATTCTCACTAGCCACACGGGTTTAAGGGCCTCAACATAATCACAATATGGGGGGGTACGTGGGGTAGTGCGTATACCACTGTAAACTAACATTCGATCCCTTTATTTACTTTTTATACAACCACACAATTAAATATATAATATATAATTTCTAACCCTATATTAACCTCAATCAATAAAGCATTCCATAAACTCTCCCATTTAAATTCACCAATTTATATCCTAAACAAGTCGCATGTAAACCATTTAACTCAACAAGGCTCAAGACCTATCACAAAGGTCATTCTAACCCTCCTGGGATGGTAGAACTACAATGAAAGTCTAGCGGTCAACTCAGGGTCAAACTACCCAAACTTGGTCAAACAGGCCCGCGGGGCCCATGACCTCCAATTTATGATTCGAAAGTTCCTATAGGTTCTACAAGGTCTAGGACACACGTCCTGCAAGTTTGGTCCAGATCAGACGGTTGGATCGCTCACGATCGCACGATCGCACGATCGCACGATCACTAAAACCCTAATCCTAGGGTTGGCATTTCCGGAGTATCCGGGACTCCATTTTACGATCCGTCAAATCCTACACGATCCTGATAATACCTAGATCAACATATTATAACTTCAGGACCATCCAACGGTCCAAACCTAGCGAACCCGAAAAATACGCGATATACGATATCCGTTGGGAACTCTAACGGTATCCAAAAATGAGATCCGAGCACACCTACGCGCTCGTGACATCGAGAGGATCACAGTGGGACAAAAATGCACCTCAACTACAGTGCCCACGCGCCGCCACACGCGCCGGCAGCGCGTGGGTGTCCAAAGCGATATCGCATCGCCGGAAAACTTCCAAATCGTGAGCCAAGACTCCTACTCTAGGTAATACACCTAATTTGGAATCACTTTTGTTCTTGGGCATACCCCAAAAACTGACCGGAAGTGGCCGGAATTTCATCCCGAAATCTGGCCGAAATCCAATTCGTAAATCGAGTTGTCTACGCTACAAATTGATCAATTCCTACCCAACATGCAGCTAGAGCTCGGAAAATAGGTCAGAAACCATACCTCACTTGCCGGAATCGGTGGCCAGACGACGGAGAACGGAGCCGGCGAGGTTTCGGGCAAAACCGAGCTTTTCTCTTCGATTTTCCAGCGAAATCCCGACGGCTGGTGGCGAGACCTGGCTGGGGTAGGAAGAGGACGGCGGCCCGAGCATTTTGGTACCGGTCCCGTCAAGTTTGGTGGCCGGACGAGAGCACGGCCGGCCAAAACGTGGCCGGCCATCGTGGCTGTCGCGAAAACCAGAGGAGAGAGGGAGAGGCGCGGGGGAGAGAGAGAGAGAGACGGGGGCAATTCCGTCTTTTAACCAAAAAAACTATTTCAAAATATTTACGATTATGCCACTGTGTTTCATTTGATCGTATCTCTCTCGTTACAACTCCGATTCAAGCCCACTACGCGTCTACGGACTCATCTCGCCGCGCTCTACGCAATGGTACAACCGGAATTCCCAAATTCCTTCCTGATAAGAAAATGACTAAAATACCCCTATCCCACGGGTAAATTCTCAATTCCACTTAAATAAATTAAAATATGCAATAAATTTGGAGTCAGGGTGTTACATTGTTGATGGTTCTTATCTGCCAAAACAATAACTTCCTTCTTTTATGGCTTTGAAAAGAGAAAAGATTTTTGAAAAGATCTGCCACCCATTATTGAAGGAATAAAAGACCCACCCCAGCATTTCGTATAAAGATGAGATGAGGTGAACAGATCAAAGGACAGCCAAAAAATCAATCAAGACAAAAATTCTCAAAGTCATAACTGACAAACTCAAAATGATCAATTGATCTCAAAAGCCTTCAAACATTGAAGCAACCAAAGCTCATTGAGCCACAAGAAACAAGTTAGCCATAATTCAAAATCTCTGATTTCAGTTCAGTTTAGAGAAATAGTTTTACAAAGCGAGATTTCTCTCGTTACAAATTTGGTTCAACATAAGCTAAACCAAGTAGAGTTTAGGGTTCTCATAATATGAAAACCTCAACAAATTTATGGAAAGCCCTGATCAAGCAGAACAAGTATTATAGCGCAATTCCAGCTCAGTAATCATCAAATCCAACCACTTCTACGCCTTTTAGACTGAAGAGGCTCCAATTATGCCCGTTCAAAAAGCCTTCCAAGGCCTGAAATAGATTAAAGCTCTACTAAACTCGAACGTTGGTATCGGTTTACAGCTAAAACTTGACAGTTGAAGGTGTTGATGGTCCAATCTAGCACCGATATACCCAGTCCAGTCTAGATCAAAAGCAGCTATCCAGGCAGAAATTGAAGTCCAACACTTTTTTTGCCTTTTTTAGAGTTGGTCTTCCTCTTTCTGAACTTTGTAAAAGGCAGTTCTACCTAAAACAGTTCACTTTCTTATCATTTATTATGGTCAGAACTACCAGTTTTTGTACTGTAAATTGTGAAAGTCCTCACCAGCCTAAGGTAGAAAAAGAACTTACTTTGGAGATATTCCCTACCCAAATTCACAATTGTTTGTTCAGAATCAGTAACTTGGAGCCCAAGTTATCTGTTTTCAAAGTCTGGTAGGGTTTTTATTGCTAGCAGTGACACGCTCATACGCAAAAAGAGAGTTGGCTTGTTGACTAGTCAATGGTTTGCGAGTCAATAGGGAACTTCATCCTACCTTCATAGGATCAGATAAAAAACGGGTGAACAACTACATAAAATAAAGGGCTATAAAGGGAATACAACTTAGTGTTCACTCTCTCACTGGCTCACTATTTTCTCTCTGCTCTCTCTTCTCTCATATTTCTTCCTTCTCTTCTTTCTTTTCTCTTTATTGCTGGCTCTCTTTCTTTTTGCGTTTCTCTTCCCATTTTTTCATCTTAGCAGAGGAGTGAAGGTGCCAATTTATGGCTGAAATCTTGAACTGTGGACCGCACCTGTGGATGTGCGGTTCTTCATCATGTGAGTGTGGAGGGAAGGAGATAAAGTCTCATGTAACGGGGATAACACTTTTTGTTATCTCTGGCCAATAATGCAATGACACGTAAGATAACTTTTCCATGTGTCATTGTGTTTTTGCTGGGAAGGGATTGGCAGACAAACCATCCGCCGAAGTCTTCAATGGTGGGCTCCATCACTTCACAACAGTTGGCATTTGGAACAAATTGGGACCAAAGTCAACAAACCCCACACGGATTCAACCAGTAGAATAGATTCAGTTTGGTCAAAGAATGGACTTACCGAACTGTTCTTTACCTTGAGCTTTCTGTCTAAAGAAATCCATATCTTGTCATGTGTATTCTAAATTGTGCTACTACAGAACATTTTGGAGTTCGTTGAATGTTTTTATAATTCCATTGTAATATATCCTCTGATTAATTTCGCCGATAATGTCGAGTTACGAGAGTCCATCACAGTTCCACATTGGAGATACAGCAGTTATTGCTATAGGTTCGGTTAAGATCTATCCCTCTCCCCGTTTGCTTTTTGTTTTCTGCATTGATTTGTTGTTAATTATTTGTTGATCTTCATTTCATTTTAGAAAAAAGCAACAATTGTCAAGTGCTAATGGTTTTTCATTGAGTTTTAAATTATGCAGTAGTCCTCTTAGTGACGATCGTTATAGTGAATTTCGTGGTTCAAAAATGCCAGAAAAGAAGTCAGACAGGCAGCTCTTTCCTTAATCCCGACTTCCAGACATTCACAATGGACAAGTTTCTAAATGATATGGAAAGAGAGAAGCCCATCAGGTTCACTTCTCAACATCTTCGGATTGCAACTGATAACTTCACCAACTTGCTGGGGCAAGGAGGATTTGGTGCAGTTTATAAAGGGATATTTAGTAATGGAACCCTTGTAGCAGTGAAGGTTCTATATGGGAGCTCAGACAAGAGAATCGAGGAACAATTTATGGCGGAAGTTAGTACAATTGGAAGAATTCACCATTTCAATCTGGTCCGTCTTTATGGCTTCTGCTTTGAGAAACACCTCAGAGCACTTGTTTATGAGTACATGGGAAATGGATCGCTTGACAAGTTCTTATTTCATAGCAACAAGGACTTAGGATTTGAAAAGCTTCATGAAATTGCGGTGGGGACAGCGAGAGGGATTGCTTACTTGCATGAAGAATGCGAACAACGAATAGTCCATTACGATATAAAGCCTGGAAACATTCTTTTGGATGCAAATTTCTTTCCAAAAGTAGCTGATTTTGGTTTGGCCAAGCTCTGTAACAGGGATAATACTCATATAACCATGACTGGGGGCAGAGGCACTCCTGGTTATGCTGCACCGGAAGTTTGGATGAGGTTTTCTGTAACACACAAATGTGATGTTTACAGCTTTGGGATGCTATTGTTTGAGATCATAGGCAGGAGAAGGAATCTTGACAATAATATTCAAGACAGCCAAGACTGGTTCCCAAGGTGGGTTTGGAAGAAGTTTGAGCCTGGAGAACTAGAAGAGATAATGGTAGTTTGCGGAATAGAGGAGAAAGATAAAGAGAGGGCTGAGAGAATTGTAAAGGTTGCTATTTGGTGTGTCCAGTATATTCCTGAGGCAAGGCCTGCGATGAGTGTTGTGGTGAAAATGTTGGAAGGAGCTATTGAGATTCCTAGACCTTCAACTAACCCGTTTCATCACTTGATGTCGGATACTCCATACCCACCTGTCTATGATACTTCAAATGGAACATATAGCACTAGCGCTTATGGTTCGGATCCCTCACAAACTGTAACTGGTACTCCTATCATGAAGAATCATGAGATTGAAATAGCCTCTACATAGGCAGGGTGAAGTACATTCCTCACTCTCTCTGTTCTTGACGAAAACATGTCCTTTTCCACATCATAGTGCTTCTTTATAAGTTCCATATAGGATTAAGTTAAAGTTATGTCTTTCGGGAATGAATAAAAAGTTTGTAAATTTTATAAACAGTGAATTGTGTGGTGGTAGGTAGTTATGGATTTGTACTATGGCTCGATTTACAGCATGGGTTGATCCAATATTTCTGTGTTTCCAATATTATATATACAGCCACATGACACTGTGTCTATATCGAATCGTTTCTGATTAAGTTTCGGTTGAATATGCCCACCTCAAAGGATGTGAAATTTTGTATGTTGTGATAATGTACAGAATATGCATATTGTGGTATTTACAACCTTTGAGGAGAATTGAACACCATATACAACCTTTTAAAGAGAATTATCCGCCATTTAATAATAAAAAAATACGATGCATTCTTCATAAAATTGACATTTTAATTGACATAAGATGACAATTATTTTAAAAATTCGATGTTTTACTAATAGACCACTATAGTTATTATATAAAAACTTATGTGGTAAACAG